AGTGTTTTTGAGATTTATTCAGATTAATATATGCAAAACCAAGGTCACAGGAGTCCTCCTTATCCTTAGGGGATACATTCCAAGATGCCCAGCAAATGCCTGAAATCACAGACGGTATCAAACCCTATGTGTATATTTTTTCCTATTCACAGATATTTATGAAGTTTAATTTTTTTGTTTCTTTGTTTTTTTGCAACAGAGTCTTGCTCTGTTGCCCAGGCTGGAGTGCAGTGGTACAATCTTGGCTCACTGCAACCTCCACTTCCGAGGTTCAAATGATTCTCCTGCATCAGCCTCCCAATTAGCTAGGACCACAGGTGACCGCCAACACGCCAAGCTGTATTTTTAGTCGAGATGGTGTTTCACCATGTTGGCCAGGATGGTTTCGATTTCATGACCTTGGGATCCACCCACCTGGGCCTCCCAACATGCTGGGATTACAGGCATGAGCCACCACACCCAGCCAAAGTTTAATTTATATACTAGGCACAACAAGAGACTGAACACAATACAAAATTGAATAATATGCAACACACTGCTTCCAATTTCGTGGACCTAAGATTTGTTCTTTTATAGATTTTAGCATCCTTAGTGTACGATTTTTTTCCTTCCTTATTAAGTCAGGAACTTTCACCTTTTCACTTAAACAAAGCACTTGTTCAGATAGAATTGGCAGCATCATTACTTTTTGGGGCTATTATTGAGTCAAGTAAGGGTTACTTGAACATAAGCACTGTGATGTTGTGACAGTCGATTTAATAACCAAGACAGCTACTAAGCGATTAAGAGGTGTAGACAGCATGAATCCACTGGATAGAGGGGATCATTCACGTGTTGGGTAGGATGAAGTGGACAGCAAGAGATTTCATCCCGTTACTCAGAACAGCAGGCAATTTAAGGCTTATAGATTATTTCTGGAATTTTCCATTTAACAGTTAGGGCCTCAGCTGACTTCAGGTATCTGAAAGTGCAGAAAGCAAACACTGCAGGTAAGGGGGCACTACTGTGTTTCTTTCTCTCACAAATTCCAGCATGCTCCTGTTTTTTGGCCGAGCCCAGAAACTAAGGTGTAGATGGGGTTCCACTCCCAAACCCCCTGTGCCGGGCACCTCTGCTGCCCTGGCTTTAGCTGAGTGCACACCCTCACTTTCAATTTCCTTGTTGTCTATGAAAGGTACAGACTTCCTTTTTATGTAGCTCCACTGAGTCCTTAATATTTTGGGTTAAATTTCAACCAAAAAAATCCTTTAACAGAGCAAGGGGAACCTGAGTGAGTCCAGCTTACCATGTTGCAGGGACTGCAAAGTAATCCTGGTTGAAAGAGCGTTTCCCAACTGTTCCTCAGATGTCTGCTTATTCCTGCTGTAAGTGTGTTCGCACTGTGTGCTTATCAAATTGAACCATGGAGCAGTCATGCCTCTCCATGCAGCACAAGGGAAAAGGTGGAAGAATGCCGGCAAAAGCATTTGCAGTAATGGAACTGTGATGTCACAGGCATTCAGCCGGAAACCCATCCCTCTGCCAGGAAACATCCTGTACTTGCCATCATCTGCATGTACCTGCTCCACAGGCCTGGAATGTGCCCCCTGGCTTAGCTGAGTACGGCTGTCTTTGTGGAGGAGTTGCCACCACCTAGTTCCTAATTCCTTCTGTGTTTTACTTTCACAGGCTGGTGGTTTGATGCATGTGGTCCTTCCAACTTGAACGGAATGTACTATCCACAAAGGCAGAACACAAATAAGTTCAACGGCATTAAGTGGTACTACTGGAAAGGTTCAGGCTACTCGCTCAAGGCCACAACCATGATGATCCGACCAGCAGACTTCTAAACTCCCGAGTCCACCTGACAAAGACTGTCTCGTGCTATTTTCAAAGACTCAAGCTCAACGCACTGAAAGTCACGGCTGCGCGCTGTGCCCTCCTCCACCTCAGAGGGCACGCTCTCGGTGCTGACGGGACCCACGCGCTCCAGATTAGAGCCTGTAAACTTTATCACTTAAACTTGTATCACTTAACAGACCAACGCAAGACCCTAAACATGTGTAACTGCCATCAGACAGAACACCCATGCAAAGATGAACCCAAGGCTGAGAATCAGACTGACAATTTACAGATTCAGCTGTCACAACCAAGAATGCCATGTGCAAGTTTATCAGTAAATAACTGGAAAACAGAACACTTACGTTATACAGTACAGATCATCTTGGAACTGCATTCGTCTAAGCACTGTTTATAGACTGTATAGAAACCCATATGTCCTGAATTCACCATCACTATCACAATTAAAAGAAAGAAAAAAATCCCTAAGCCATAAAAAGATATATTCGCGGATATTCTGAGAAGGGATTACTAGAAGTTTAACATTTGGAAAAACAGTTAGTGCATTTTTACTCCACCTCTTAGGGGCTTTAAATTTTAATTTCAAAAACACATATTTACATTTAGGTTGACAGCTTAGTTTTAAGTTAATACTGAAATACGTATTTCAAGTTTATATGGTGGGAACTTCCAGGATCTCTGAAATTATCAACAGAAACGTGTCATTTTAGTTTATATGCAGACTGTACTATTTTTCTCTGCCTGATTGTTAAATATGAAGGTGTTTTTAGTAATTAAATATAACTTATTAGGGGATATACCTATGTTTAACGTTTATGATAATATTTACAGTTTTATAATTTGTTTCTGAAAGAACCGATTGTGCCTTGTGACAAGGAAACCTTTGATTTTTAATGATGAGGAAAATTATACATTTCATTCTATGACAAAGAAACTATACTATCTTCTCATTATTCTAAAACAGAGGTCTGTTTTCTTTTCTATTAAGATATATATTTTTAGAACTAAGTTACAATTTAATTTGTGGTTGAGAAAAGCCTTCTATTTAAGACATTTACAAAGCTATAATCTCAAGATTCACCCTTAAATTTACTTAAGAAAAAAAAAATTCACACAAGCAAGATTTTTTTATGTCAATTAGCAAACTGAAGAAAGTGTTTCAAAGTACAAAAAATCTGATGTTCTTAATGTATTTAAGTATTTGCAGAAAATTTGAGAACACAGGGCCAGGTGCAGCAGCTCACGCCTGTAATCCCAAGTACATTGGGATGCCCAGGCAGGCAGATCACCTGAGGTCAGGAGTTCAAGACCAGCCTGGCCAACATGGTGAAACTCTATCTCTACTAAATAATATAAAAATTAGCCAAGCATGGTGGCAGGTGCCTGTACTTGGGAGGCTGAGGCAGGGAGAACTGCTTGAACTGGGGAGGTGGAGGTTGCAGTGAGCTGAAATCACACCATTGCACTCCAGCCTGGGTGACAGAACGAGACTCCATCTCAAAAAGAAAAAAAGAAAGAAAGAAAGAAAGAAAAAGAAAATTTGAGAACACACAGCTTTATACTCAGGACTACAAAACTCCTAGAGTTTTAACTCCTTTTGAAATTTTCATAGTACAATTAATACTAATGAACATTTGTGTAAAGCTTTATAATTTAAGGGAAATTTCTCATATATTCCTTTCTGAGTCATTTTGCAAGGAAGTTCAGAGTCCAGTCTGCAACCGGCATCTACTATATGTCTGTCTTTACCTTAAAGTTTACCACTATTTTTTCTTTATTCCATTTTAAAATCTAATTTATGTTACCCCAACTTCTCCTCCCCCTTGACGTAGTTTTAGAACACACAGGTGTTGCTACATGTTTTGAGTCAATGATGGACTCTGGCAAAGTCAAGGCTGTTTTATTTCCACCAAGGTGCACTTTTCCAACAGCTATTCAACTGAGTCAAGAACTTCTCGTTCTTAGGGAGGTTTATACTTTATATTTATAAACTTTATATTTAAGTAGGTATCTACATTTAAGAAGGCTTTATGAATTCAACAATGGTATCATGGCCTTGTATCAATCTGAAAAACAACTGAAAGTAAGAAAATTTCACAGCCTCAAAAGCCAACAACAAGTTTCTATGATACCTCGATGACAACAATGATGGATACTTAGGCAGGGAAATGATAATGCCGGAGAAACTGGCAACAACACACTGAATTTATATCAATTCTCCATGTAAACAGGTGAAATGAAATTCAGGGTCAAATCTCATGATGTCATTGAGCGTTATATATAATCTCTTATGACAGAGATTGAGGGGAATTTATGTTTTTACTTTACACTTCAGTTCCTAACGCAGTATTTCAAACAAACAGTCTTGCTTAGAGGAATTTTTTCTCTCCTTAAGAAAACATTTATAAAGCTGAAAGGAAATCAAACAGTAATCTTAAAAATGGAAACAAAACAACCCAACAACCTAGATAACTACAGTGATTAGAGCGCATAATTCAACTGCTTGTTGTGTTACAGTCATATAGCCTACTCAAACAACTAAATAATAACACTGGTTGCAGAAAAAAAAATCACCATTTATCTTTCAGATATTAATCTTCTGAATAAGCTGTCACAAACCGTTTAATATTTTTGAACATGAAAGGCAACTTCTAAACATTCCTGTATCCAACCAAACCTTAAATTATCCACTTAATTATTACTTAATCTTAAAAAACATTAGAACCTGGAACTTTTCCAATAAACATTTGAAAGTTGAAGTGGAATTTAGGAAAGTCATAAAAATATAAAGACTGTTATCACAGCACTAACAAGCCATAATTTTTATACCTATCAGTTCTATCTCTATTAACAGTAAAAACATTAAGCAAGGCATAAGACTACCTTCCCAATATTTTAGTCTTTTTTCATTTTTGTTTTTCTCAATTCTGAGGACTTTCATCATCTTTAAATTTTCTTTGGACTGCATTCCTCACTACTTTTTGCAGAACGGTCTCACGTTCTCACAAATAAATTGATAAAAGGTGTTAAGTTCTGTGAATGTCTTTCGAATTATGGACATAATTCAAAAAAATGCCTGACTTGATAAACCTTAATCTACCCTTATGTTTTTCAGTAATTTCTTGAGAACACCAAATTGCATAAAACAATATCTGACTTACAGGAGCTGCAGGGAAGTGGTTAGAGAGTTCAAACGGCTCCTCAGAAATCCAGTGACCCGAATTCTAAAGACCATAGCACCTGCAAGTGATACAATAAGCAGATTTAATATAGATTTATTAGGCTTTGTGGGCAATAAATCAACAGTCACTTTGAAGACACAGCAAAAACAAAACAAACAAAAACTTCAACAGTGATACAAGCCACAGATCTGAAATAGATGGGTTCTCAACAAATGTGCCTTCAGAATCTTCATGTTGCATAAACGTTATGAATGGTAATAAAAACTTGGTTAAGAAAAAGTCTCATCATAACAAGAAATGTGAGTCATTATTCTTGTGAGGCCAAATATTTAAATATTATCCACTTTTTAAACATATGAAATATTATAGATTTTAAATTCCAAGTTTCTCATTTATGAAGTGTTTTATAAATAGTCCTCTGTAAATATTCCAGAATTTTATTCATTAAAACAACGAATTAAAAGAAGATGGATCACAAGTCTAAATTCAAAAGCAATCCCTTTGGCTTGCGACTTTCTAACATTGGCTAATACTTTCAGAAGTCCTCCGGAACACACTTGAAATTCCTTCCCAGACTTTGGAAGAGTAAAATGTCCCATAAACAAGTTTTCATCTTCATCATTATCATCATCATTATACTTAGTATTTGAATCTCCACACTTTTAAATGATCAATATGATGTTTTCCTTTTTAATTCGGTAATATTTGAGGTTCTGCAGCCATCTCTACTCCAGGACCAAACTCCCTGAAAATCTGTCTTCATACACCAGAATTTTACAGCTAAAATAAGAAGGCTGGATTATGTAATTCATCTTTATTGTTTATTATTTCTGAGACAGACTCTCACGCTGTTGTCCAGGCTGGAGTGCAGTGTTACAATCTCAGTTCATTGCATCCTCTACCACTCAGGTTCAAGTGATTCTTCTACCTAAGGCTCCCGAGTAGCTGAGACTACAGGCACCCACCACATCTGGCTAATTTTTTTTTTTTTTTTTTTTGTATTTTTAGTAGAGATAGGATTTCACCATGTTGGCTAGGCTGGTCTCGAACTTCTGGCCTCAAGTGATCCACTGACCTCAGCCTCAATGCATGTTATTTAAAGAGATATACTAAGAATATGTGAGGCTTCCGACAAACTCATATAATTAGACTAGGAAATAAAATGTAAAACGTTTCAAAATCAGGTTCATTTCACACAAGAGGCAACATAAGAGAATAGTACAGTGAGAAAAGCAATGTACCAGTGACAGAAGCCAGGGAACCAGCCTTAAAAATGTGTGTGACATTTAAGTTCAAATATATTCCATGTTAAAATGTCAACCGAATTTAAACAACCTTATGGAGAAAATTTATGTCCTCTGAATTTATACCTTTCTAAATGTTAAGAAAATAAAACATAAGAGGCTAAAGTAGAGTTCTGGTGCCAGTAAATTAATAAATTTAATGTACATAGGCATCCCAGGAATTAATATTGTATAGAGATAGGAGAAAACACTAATTCAATTGTATTAAAATAATCAAATCAGAAATACAGTGTAAACACTTTGCTCCAGAACTTTCATTGGCCAAACACATCTTCACCTTAGTAGAGTGTTCAAAACAGTGAAAATCTTTGAAAGAGCACAGGCAGGGCTGTAAGCAAACTTAAAAACATTGGCCCAACATCTTTCTCATAAGAAGGGCGGAGTGAATTCAGCATCTGCTGCAAAAGGAATTCAGCATCTTGTAGATAAGACATTCTGTAACAAAAATGATGGTTTTTTTTTAAATTTTAAATTATCACTCATAAAACCCAAACCTTGTTGAATTTAAATAGGAACTGCGTCTGTGAATAGAAACTGCTTCATTTCTTCTTTTCTGATTTGTATGCACATTTTATTTCTCTTGTTATTGCACTGGATATAACTTCTGGTTCAAGACAAGGAAGGAGCAGTGAGAGCATGAGAGTTCTTTGAACTACTTTGTGAGGCAGATTTATTCAGTTTATTGTAGTATAGAGTATCATAAAAACCTAAAGTGGGCCTGGGGCTGTGGCTCACATCTGTAATGCCAGCACATCGAGAGGCCGATGTGGGCGGATCATCTGAGGTCGGGAGTTCAAGACCAGCCTGACCAACATGGAGAAACTCCATCTCTACTAAAAATACAAAATTAGCCAGGCATGGTGGCACATGCCTGTAATCCCAGCTACTCGGGAGGCTGAGGCAGCAGAATCGCTTGAACCCGGGAAGGGAAGTTGCAGTGAGCCGCGAACACACCATTGCACTCCAGCCTGGCCAACAAGAGTGAAACTTCACCTCAAAAAAAAAACAAACAAACAAACAAACAAAAACCCTAAAGTGTTCAAATTAATGTATCTATGTTCAAATTAACCTATATATTATATTAATGTGTCTATGTGCAAATTAGCCTACAGAAAGCACAAGTTTTTTTTTTTTTTTTTTTTTTTTGAGACGGAGTTTTCGCTCTTGTTACCCAGGCTGGAGTGCAATGGCGCGATCTCGGCTCACCGCAACCTCCGTCTCCTGGGTTCAGGCAATTCTCCTGCCTCAGCCTCCTGAGTAGCTGGGATTACAGGCACGTGCCACCATGCCCAGCTAATTTTTTGTATTTTTAGTAGAGATGGGGTTTCACTATGTTGACCAGGATGGTCTCAATCTCTTGACCTCGTGATCCACCCGCCTCGGCCTCCCAAAGTGCTGGGATTACAGGCTTGAGCCACCGCGCCCGGCCAAGTTTTTTTGTGGGTAGCTGTTTTTAAAGAAAAAAAAAAAATATATATATATATATATAGTTTGTTTGTTTGTTTTGTTTTGTTTTGTTTTGAGACAGAGTCTCGATCTGTCACCAGGTTGGAGTGCAGTGGCGCAATCTCGGCTCACTGCAATCTCCACCTACCGTGTACAGGCAATTCTCCTGCCTCAGCCTCCTGAGTAGCTGGGATTATAGGTATGCACCACCACGCCCATCTAATTTTTGGTATTTTTAGTAGAGACAGGGTTTCACCATGTTGGCCAGGATGGCTTGATCTCCTGACCTCACGATCCACCGGCCTTGGCCTCCCAAAGTGCTGGGATTACAGGGGTGAGCCACCGTGCCCGGCAAGAATTCATATTTTTAAAGCCACTTTAGCTTCACAGCAAAATTAAGCGGAAGGTACAGAGAGCTCCCATACGCCTCCTGCCCCACACATGCATCTCAGTGTCTACCACTGGAGCGCAAAATGTGTCGGACCTAGTCCTCCCATGCTGACACATCATTATCGCCCAAAGTCCACAGATTACATTACAGTTCCTTGTGAGTGAAAAATGTACACTATGATTGAGTAATGGGCTGGCCAGTGCTTGCAGTGCTTCCGCAAGCTGTTTTCAACTTCCTATTTCTTTCTTTTCTTCAGACAGATTCTTCCTCTGTCACCCAAGATGGAGTGCAGTGGTGCCATCTTGGCTCACTGTAGACTCTGTCTCTCAGGTTCAAGCAATTCTCCTGCCTCAGCCTCCTGAGTAGCTGAGATTACAGGCACACACTATCATACCTGGCTAAATTTTTTGTTTTGTGGATTTTTAAATTTTTTTTTTTTTTTGGTAGAGATGGGATTCACCACATTAGCCAGGCTGGTCTCGAACTCCTGACCTCAAGTGATCCACCTGCCTCGGCCTCCCAAAGTGTTGCGATTACAGGCATAAGCCCCTGTGCCCAGCCCTCTCAACTTCCTGTTTATTCCTCAAAGAATAACTAGAAATTTCTGAGTGATCAAAAGGATTCCAGCTAAATATCAGTAAATGTTACATCTCCTGTTAGGACCAATCAAATTAATTCTTATTTATTCATTAATTTGTTAGTATTTTCTTAACTGCCTAAGAAATTATCTTCAGCTAAGAAAAAAAATTATTCACAAAGTATTTCATAAGCAAAAACACTGAACAAGGTACTCAATTTTTGACTTCTCAAAAAAAAAAAAAAGAGGGAAAACAACAAGCAATTATTTTAATGTATACGTGATAAGAGAAAACTGGGGGGAGGGAAGACAATCTGTAAGAGGAATTTAAAGTTGGGCTTGAAAAAATGACCACATTTAATAATGACTCCCTACTGGTATGAAAAGTACAACTGTAACATGAAGCTGACTTAACTCACTGGAGAGCATTAATGATTGTGTTGAAAACATTTGTCAACATTCACAATTTTTGATAGGCAACATTACTGTTAATCGTAATGCTAAGTTTATTCAAATTTTTGAATAGCCAGCCTTATCCAAGTATACCACCCAGCAGAGCTTACCACCCACCATACTGTGAAATTCAACTGCAGCTGTGGTACTAAGAATACCTGTGGGAACTAGAAAGGAAAAAGGTAGGGAGGGTAGGGGTGCTTTCTTGTGGCATACAGGAAGCCAACAATATTCTCTGCATACAAAAGACTCCACGTTGTATAAAGCAGGGGTCCTGGTACCAGTCTGTGTCCTGTTAGGAACTGGGTCCCACAACAGGAAGTGACTGGCAGGCGAGCCAGTCAAGCTTCATCTGTATTTACAGCCGCTTCCCAGTGCTTGAATTACCACCCAAGCTCTGCCACCCATCAGATCCGCAGTGTCATTAGATTCTCATAGGAGCTCAAGCCCTATTGTGAACTGTGCATGTCAGGGATCCAGCTCCTTATGGGAATCTAACGCCTGATGACCTGTCACTGTCTCTCGTCACCCCCCTACAGGACTGTCTAGTTGCAGAAAACAACCTCAGGCCTCCCACTGATTCTGCATTACGGTGAGTTGTAGAATGATTTCATTATATATTACAATGTGATAAGAATAAAGTACACAATAAATATAATGCGCTTGAATCATCCTGAAACCATTCCTCCCTCACCCTCCCAAGCCCCCAGTCCCTGGAAAAATTGTCTTTCACAAGACTGGTCCTTGGTGTCCAATTTTATGAAAAGGGCTGGAGATTGCTGCTGTAAAATACCACTTGATTAATTAAAAATCAAATCTCACAGTTAGAAACTTGTCCCACAGATGTAAGCCATGGGAGTGTAGTTAATTTCAAAGAGTTCAAAAGT